GGCCTTTCAAATGGCATCGTTAGTTGTTTCACTGATTTCCAGCCCGTTGTGTAGCTTTCGAAAGTTACATTCAGCGAGCGGTGCTTCGTACGGCTCAGGTACATTTTTCAAAAAGGCTTATTAAGTGGTTGGCTCTGTAGCGCAATGGATAGCGCATTGGACTTCTAGGCAGAGTTGGGAAAGATATTCAAAGGTTGTGGGTTCGAATTCCACTAGAGTCAACAATTTTGTTTTGTGTCCTCCTTCAATAGAATGGAAAGCGTGATCAGTTACAAAATAGCAAAAGGTCTAATCCTGGGCTTCCCAACCCTATTCACCCAGGGACACATATTTCACACCTACATAATTGTATGTCATGTTTCGTTTTCGTTGGAGTCCGTAAATTATCTCTAACAGTTTTCTGTGGTGCAATTCAGTTAGCACGTTCGGCTGTTAAGACAAAGGATGGTGGTAAGAGCACACCCAAGGACGACCGTCATTTCTTTCCGTTTTTCCCACTCCAGCTTATAATAATAATATGAACCACAGGACAAGTATCTACACCTGTCTTTGTGTGTTGCCTGGCACCATGTCTTAGTTGGTTAAAGTACCTCTCTAGTAAACTGGAGTTCCTGGGTTTGAATCACACAGTGCCTTTCAAATGGCATCGTTAGTTGTTTCACTGATTTCCAGCCCGCCGTGTAGCTTTCGAAAGCTACGTTGAGCTAGCGGTGCTTCAAATGGCTCAGGTAAGCTTTTAAAAATGGCTTATAATGTGGTTGGCTCTGTAGCGCAAAGGATAGCGCATTGGACTTCTAGGCGGATTTGGCAAATATATTCAAAGGTTGTGGGTTTGAATCCCACTAGAGTCAAGAATTTTGTTTTGTGTCCTCTTTCAATAGAATGGAAAGCGTTATTGTTACGTGAATTATTTCACAAACTATTTCAGTGTCTCTGTGCGTCTCCCAAAATCAAGAAATGGACAGAGTCCCGGTCTGCATAGTCAGAGATGTTTATTCATTGAGAATTCTGCCATCACAATTTCAGAGTCCATCTTTTATACTCATATGTCATACAAAAATCCCTCCCCTCTTTAGGCAGGCTGTAGTTTTCCACTTTATAATTGCTCTCCTGACCATCAGTTCACACACACACTTTCTTATCATAGCTTACTCCCTGCATTCCTCAGTTATCGCCATTCTCACAATATTCTGCACCATGTTTCATTCTACTTAAATAGCCTAACAGTTTCTCTCCTCCCAAAATTGGGAGGCCTCTTTATCTTGGTTTCTCAGTTGTCTGTAGATAGTTCTCCTTGTCCTTTGTTGTCTGGCCTAACTCTTACTCACATTGCTAAATAGTAGCACAATGTCATAGTCTTTACAGGTCCTACACTCACACATTCTAACACATTTCACACAGTTTCAGGGTTTAATAATTAGTAATTAATAATTATTCTATCAATCCACCCTTTGACTAAATATTACACACATACTCACAAAATATACGTTGTTATAGAAATGAATCACACACATTGAAGCATATAAGTTGATTTGCATATAAAAACATTAAAAATTGTCTCATTCAATAACGTTACTCTTTAGCAATGGTACCTAACCTGTTTACCCACTATCTGGAAACAACAGTCTAAGCCTATAGTGAAGAACATTTGCTTCATCACATCCTGCAACATCGGTTAACTAGTACATCAAACTTAAAACAAGACTTTAATACACAAAAGATAATTACAATAACTTTTAAACTAGAGATTTATAGTTCTAGGAAAACATCCAGTCTCAAACTATCTGTATAGTCGTCATCTTCATATTCTTCATTCGGTTGGTCGGAGTCCGGGATTGGGCCATATCTCACTGTCTGCTGTGATACTGCATTTTCCAACGCCTTGCTCACCAACCCTCGGACACAGGGAATAAGACAACATTCACAAAGAACAAGCATGCCCATAGACGCGATTGCCGCGCCTAAAATAGTTACAACAACAGTTTTCCATTTACCAAACATTTGATCAAACCAACCGTTTAGGGAGCTATCAATACCAGAGTTCTCGGGCTAGTTCGTTCGCCAGCGTGGTGAGTCCCTGAAGAGCTTTGGTCACGGACCCATCCGGTGCTGTATTGTTGGGGATGAAAGTACAGCACATAACAAAAACTCCGCCCCGTTCAGCCAAAAGCATATCTAAAGCTATTCTATTCTGCCATGCCATTAAGCTAGTTGCCGCTGTCTGCTCAGCCAATCACTTTATTGCATCACGAGTGTGGTTTATAAATCTTTGCTGGTTATAGTAAATATAATTTATCAAATCTACGTTTTTATTAATTGTTGACCACCAGAAAATACTTGATTCAAACCCAGCTGCGATCTGATTCTTAGCTTTGAATTCTTCTGGAACCCCTCGAGGTACTCCTATCCCATCAATATATATCCTTTCATTAAAGGAACCCGGGAGGAGGTCCCGCTTTCTACGTGACAACTCACCAGTCTATGTAGGTGAGGCCACAATCTGTTATCACCACACAACCACCAGATGTCAGCACGGGCATGGTTTTGGTTCCTAAAATCCTCTGGCTGCAACAAAAAGGAGAGATTAGTCATGGTCTCTTTAGTTGTGACATTCTCTGTGTGGGAGCAGGAGCTAAGATGCCCTACCCTGTATCCTATCTTATTAGTCCTAGAAAAACAATAATACGAATCCCCTGAGACTTCAAACGGAGGTAACCTAGGTCAGGGTGACTTTGTTATCGGGGAATACAGATAGTGCAAGTTACTACAAGACTCCTTCACCACATTCCCAGGTGGCTTGAACAATTGAATTATGCAGGATAAACCTGACGGAGAGTTAAAGCCCATCAAGGGGAACGGAGTAGTTGTTAACCTTGGTTTAGCTGTCCCACAGGCATAACAGTCCTCTTTAGACATAGTTCTTGCCATATACTGAATCCATTCCAACCACAGGTTCCCTATACCCAGTCTCCACCTGTACTACTTCCTTCAGGTCTATAGTTTGCACTGTCTCACTACCTCCCTCAGAGAGGTGTACTCTATAGGGTGCCCCAGTTGAAGAAGATATCTCACTTGTCAGGTAAACTGTGTATGGAGA